CCCCAAAACCCCAAAACCCCAAAACCCCATTTTCGTTAAAAATAATTGAGCCAAAATGGAAAACGAAGAACACTCAAAGGCTGACCAAAACTCGCCTGGAAAAGTTAGTCAGCCTACCCAGGAGGCACAAGACCTTCAAATCTTTGAGAAATATGAGAGCATGTCCAAAGCCATGCTAAAAAATCAGCCTAAAAGTCCTGTCAACCAGATAAGCTTTGGAAATTTAATGGATGAAAATAAATCAGAGCCAAACAAGACGAGATCTATCGATAATACCTACATTGGTAAAATATATGACTTGAAAAGTTTGAGAAAAGAGCGAAAAATTAAGCAAGTAAGAATTCCTTCCACTGATAGCTCTTATCAATGCTTTAGAACAACACTAATGAAAATAAAAAGAAGAGAAAGAACAATACTAAGCTAAGCCAATTTCTTTCACCCATTGCTAAGAGTCCTCAGAAGGTTGATTTTGGTACCTCAGCCAGCTTCAGGGCTCTTGCTGAGTCCTCTAAATAAAGAAAATCAACGATATAAACAGGATGATTCTCCTAAAAAGTAAGTTTTAAGCTTCATCATAGGGAAACCCCTGAGGCAGATAACGCAAAGTGGGAAGAAAAACTCAGGATTACCGTCGATAAATATGAGACAATGCTTAGGTCGATTAATCAAGGTTTCAAAGACCTCATGCTGACTAACGAGAATCTTGAGTTACAGCTACAACTTTCTAAACGGGTCCAAACCAGAACAAATGAACCTGGTGAATCAGTTGAGGTAATCAAGCAAGCTTTCATGAAGCAACAGTTGGAGCATGACAGTGCACAGGAGAGACTCCAAATGGAGCATCAAAAATTCCAATCAGAAAAGGAAGAGCTGCTACTTAAACTTCATACATCAAACTCTAAGATTGCTTTACTAGAGCGAGAAATGAATGACCATGAGCAACTAAACCAAAGTCATGATGCCCTTAAGAGAAATTACACAAGTCAAGAGAATCTTTATAAGACTGAAAATATGAACTTGAGAATCAAAGTGGATGAACTAGCTTCTAAACTAGCTGAATTAGAAAGAACTAGTAAACAAAAAGAAGAGGCTCTCTTTGATCTCTCCAGAGAGCTTGAAACATGCAAGAACTCGCTTAATAACTATGAGCATTCAGAGAGCCAGTACAAAAGAGAAGTCATGAACTTAGTCCAGGATAAAAATGAGTTAGAAAATCAGATCCAAGATTACCAAATGTCAATCAAAGTTCTTGAGACTTCTAGTTCTCAAGCTAGTGATAGATTAATGGTTCTTCAGAGGGAAAATGAGATGTTACAGAACAGTCTTACTTATAGCAAACAGAATGACCAACGGATTCTAGTAATAGTGCTTTATTTTATCTCTCAATAGAAAGACCTTCAGATGTATAAAAGTAGACTTGCTTCAGCTGAAGAGAGAAACAAGACTTTAGATATGGATATGCTTAGACTTCAGCAGAAGATAAAGTACTTACAGGACGAAAATACTCATCTCCAAAGAATGCTTGAAGAAACAGGGGATGAAAGTGAAGAAACTCACATGATCCGTCAAAAAGAAATGGAGCTTCAGCAGCTTATTCAACAACATAAGATTCGTAAGGCCAGTAAGGAAAGAGAAGGGAAATTCAGGGATTCTCAAATATACAGCCCTCCTATCTACCAACCCAATGCTAGCCAGACTCATTTGCCTAAAGACACAAGGCCAGATCACCAAGGTGTTTTAGATTCCTTGACTCCAGCAAGCCTGAATGTCTCATTCCTAAGTGCAAAACCTGATGCTAACATACCACAGGTGGTATCCCTTCCAAACCAGAAGGTGCAGGAAGCCACCTCTTTTGAAATTGCTAAGGATGATCCCTTCTGGAAGAATAGAGATATCATACAGCGAGAAATGAATATTAAAAAGGAAGGGATAATGAAAGATTTCCTCCAAAATAGTGCCCAAAGGGGCAGGAGAAAGGAACGAATAGACCCGTCTAAGATGGAACCTGCTGGCAAAAAGAGTCTTGAGAGGCCAACCTCTTTGAAATTTCAAGGATAAAGAAGCACATTATGCTATTGGTATCTTCAAAAAATTAGCCTTAACAGGGGTTTTGGGGTTTTGGGGTTTTGGGGTTTTGGGG